GTGCTGCCGGTTTTCCCGTATTTTTTTTTTTTTTTTTAAGGAATCGCATCTCAGGTTGTCCTGGTGTGACGCCCCCCGGCCCAGCAGGTCATTCAGCGGCAGGAGGGAAACACCGGGGGATTGATTTTACGAAGGAGGGGCAGAAGGGTTTGCCTTGCTTGCAACGAGGGGAAGAAGGGGAATGTAAGGAAACCGTGATGGTCGTGGCTGTTTTGCCAGCACTGTTTAGCGAAAACAGCTGCTTTCCTGCTGTTGGTCTATGTATGGAGCAACGGCCGGCTTTCTTCCGTAAGGCACGGAGACACAAACACCGAGCTGGAGAGACGAGTAGGAGCTGTCCGGTTGATTTAGTAAAATGCAGCGTGTGCCCTTGCCCGAGCCGTAGCAGGGGCGACCCAACACGAGCAGTCCCTGGGGGGCACCCTGCGGAGGTCCTGGGGTCGGGGAAGGCAGGCGGGAGGCATAAAGCACCTTGCTGGAGCTCTGCTCCTGGGCACCTTCGCTCTCCTGGAATATGCAGGAAAAAAACTGGCAAAGGCCGGGGGCTGGGGGGAAATGCAAAGCCTCCCCTCACACACAACCAATTACTGTGAAAAGCTCCATTTCAGGTTGTCTAGTATGAGACTTTATACTGCAGCCCAAAGATGAGATGAGCTTGAGAAGCCGCTTGTTTTTACTCCTCTAAATTGACTAGCTTTCCTCTCTTATTTAACATAACAGAAGATAATCTTTTTTTCTCCTCAGATATTTATGGATAGTTGTGTCTTTCGTAATGGCTGTCATCTGAACAGCGCAAGGTATTTTAACTGTCTTCTCCTAACACAGCCCAGCGCACTCAGCATGTAACAAATGCTTTTCATCACAAGGAGAATCATCACTGTTGTTCTCCATTTCGGCCTAGATGCTGCCCTTGGCACCGTGCAAGCAGCCCCCTGGGCTAAATACAGGCTGCATCCAGAATTACAGATCTCTTGTGAATGCAGTCACACATTCTGCTATTACGGTTCTGGGTTATATTTAAGAAAAAAAGAAATTACAGGCAAACTTAAGAAAATAGAAACATTTATTGAAATGTGCAACATACTCGTGAAATATTTAGCACGAATTATGTGACAGTATAATTTAAAAAGTCATCATTTGTAACATTCAAATATATCAAGCATCCTTCACACTGAAAAAGACGGCAACTTAAAATGCATCTTAAATGACAGTTTTATTCATTACCCAAGGTACATTCATGATTTTAACTCAAGTAACTCATTCTTCCAAATACTCATTCTCTACAAATTTTACAGATATGAACAGCTGCATAATGCTAGTAAACTACAGTGTAAGTTCCTTCCCAATTCAGCATCTTTAGCAAGTGCTTAGCTGCAGTACTATGAGATTATACATGAAAATACAGTTAAGCGTACCTGTGTTTACAGGACTTACAATGTGCATGTAATCTCTAAGCTTGGGAGTAGCCCTATTGAATTCAGTATTATTTTTCTAGTCCCATGATGAAAGTTAGGCCCAATTACAGAATGAAAGCCTGAAGTCCATTTTTGGTCCAACGTGAACTGTGTTTATAGATTAAAAAAATAAATGAGGTTAATCAAGCTGTAGCCAAAGAAATTTTTGAGATTTTACACAAAAATGAATTTTGCATATGAAAATACCAATAGCTATTCTTTAACTTCAACGATTGTCTGTCAAACTGTGTTATGTCAAATTCTTCATTTCCAATGTACACGACTAGCATTTCCTTTGGAAAAGAGTATCACACAGAGCAGAAACTTTTGCTTAATTATGTATGGTAGCAAGAGGAGATGTAAAATCCTTTAAGATTTTAAGAAGATAAGAACTTAGAACCTTCTGATAAAAGCCATCTTCAATGTCTTTACATTATTTACTGGATTTTCACGTTTTCAGCTCGTTTGTTTATCCTGTAGCTTCCTCCGTAGGCACAGAGGATCTCTTGCAGCAAAAAATATCCATTTACAGAGAAAAATGCAAAGCAAAGAACAGCAGGATTTCTGGATCTGAATTGGAGTTTGTGCGCCTCACATCTGCGTGCTGTGATACAGCTGGCATTTTCTGCAGAAGCAGCAAGCTGGTAGATTTAGTGGTACATTGCTGCACTAAATGTCTCCCCATGCTGGGACTGAGCCAGCAGCAAAGGAAAATGCTTCTTTTCTATCGTGCAGCGTAGATGCTGAGGAAGAGGCTGGATTTAACATTTGAGCAATGGGAATGCAGAGGAAGTCAAACCCCACCGTTACATAAATTTGCACTGCCCATAGTTGCCACTCAGGCAGAATTCCAACTAAGGTCAGCGAAACAGCTGCCAAAAGACTGTGGGGTTAATGTATATGGGCCACATTTTAAATGTCACTTAGTATTAATACAAGAAAAAAAAAATACTGAAATTTAAGTGTCTAGAAAGTGTTGTGATTGCAAAATGCAAAATACAAAGAGACAAAAGAGCACCACTGAGATGGTGTATTTACAGTTAGGATAGTAAAAATAGAAACTGAAGGAATTATAAATGGAAACATTTTCACAGTGTATTCAGAGATGCACCTTCCTTTATTCAGAAATAGCAGCTCCTACTTATGTGCTTTCCCCTTCAACTTTGAAGAAGCATTAGGTGAATGCAAAACATTTATCTTGAAAAACTCTTTTAAAAAAATCAACTAGCATTATCAGAAAAAGGAAGAAACCATGTAATTTTCTCTACATGGTACATTTAATGCATGCTGGCTCCCTACCGCTGCAAATATTTAAACGTGTGAGACAGTCCAGGCATTGAGTTCAGTGGACAGTAAGAATGAGTAGCGCCAGCTCACTTCTGCTTTGTGCAATGCTTATCCCCGTGCCCTTCATACAGAGCTTTGGGGCGGATGGGACTAGTTAAATTTGGAAAACTGTAATTATAAAGCCATAAAATTTGCCAGAAAACCAAGAACAAGGGCAGCATATTAGATTACTGTTTTTGCAGGGGGTTTTGACTTTTCTCTATTTTATGTTGATGCTGCCAGCTCTTAATATCAGACAGCTATCACAAAACCCAATTAGTTTCACTTAACACCTGCATGTTTGTAACCAGCAGAGCCAAGCAACCTTTAAAACAAGGTTACATGATATATGAACTTTGTTGTTTGTATTCCATGGCTTAGCAAAATAAAAACCGTGCGAATAACACAGCCAGTATGCAACAGAAGATACGTTAGGTGTGCTACATAGTATTAATTCATTTCAAAAGGAATCTTCATCAGAACTGTATGTATGGGGAAAGAAAAAAATGTTAAAAATATTAAATCAATAATTGCAGATAAAAGGGAAATGGAGGAAGTTATGAATAAAATGCAAACATTGTTTTCACTGTAAATATTTGTTAGAACTAAGGTCATTGCCAATGTGAAATAAGAAGTTGCTCATCATTGGGTAAAACGCACTTTTAGGGCCAATATAATATTTTTTCATGACTAAAAATACATTTTCACAGAAAATTACATCCCCCAGCATCTTTTGCAAATATCGTGTGTGTATATGGAGGAGAGGGAGAAGAACAACAGACGCTTTTACAGTTAAGTCTTAAAGAATGAAAATTGCTAATTTTTTCATCTTGATTTCCTTTTAAATGTATTATTGCAGATGACGATTCCTAGATTCTGACCCTCTATTACCCCTGAAAAAGGCAGGGGCTGCTTCCAAAGGACTGCGAGCTGGCCCTCTTGTGATCGAGTGAGGAGCTGCAATCTACCTTTCCATATGAACGAGGCAGAATACGTTCCCTGATAAGTTTCCACTTATCCATCATTACATCTATTTATAATGAATTAGAGATCGGGGTGGGTTTTGGTTTATTTTCTGGCATGCACGTGTACGTATTATCTTAACACTGTTTCCTGTGTGACATTACCATAACAGTTTGCCCTTAAGTCCTTCATACAATGGACTAGAAAGTTGATTTCAGAGATCTATTCACATGAAAGCTCAGTAGGTACTTGGTAATGTTCAACCAAACAATAGGTAAGAACATAACCTACATTCTAAAAACATTTAACACATTCATATATAGAGTTATACTGAACATCAATCTGTATAATATACCAAGTGTAGTAAAAAGCATTAGATACACATACACATATGTACATGCACATATATAGACACCCATTTTCTTTACATCATGTACCTGCCCTAACTCAGTATATTGAGTTACCAGTCCAGTTTCATGTCTGCTTTACTCCACACATACTTTCCTCCTCTTCTTAGGAACATCTTCTCATCAAATCCACTGAATTTTATAGCTGCTTCTACACCAACGTCTAGGATAGACTTGGAAGGCTCTTTCCGTCCATTTCTACAGTTTAGAAAACGCATCTGGAACATCAATAGGTAAGGCATTAGAGAGTCAATTTGTAAAAGCTTAATTTTTCTACAGAATTAAACAAGTTGCACTGCAATCCTACAAAAGCCTACGTAAGTGCATGAACAGTTTCACTGCAGTCCTTAGAAGGCTCAGAAGCTCATGGTTAGACACACTGACACATCTTAGCAGGAACAAAGCCATACCGTAATTCCTGAAGATTAAATGTTTGCTCTTCAGTTACATGTAAACTAAGTAGGCTCTTTGAAATTTAACTTTCAGGACAAGTTCCGTATTTTTAAATTAAAGAAAAACAGCAAAGGCATCCTGCAAAAATACACATCTACACTTTTAAGATTCGTGATGCAATGATTATGCGTGCAACCTGATGGCAACTCCTCCTTAGGTCATACTTAAATTCAAGTTCTCAATATGTTTGATGGGAAAAAATTACATCTATTCCTTGTACTATGTGGTAAAATTACTTTATAGAATGCACAGTAAATAGAATTGGTTATCATTGTTGTATACATACATATATTAGCGTACAAATACCAAGTATCAAACGAAGACTTACATATTCATCCAGAATGAGGTATGAATCCCTCATCTGTAATAGATCAAAAGAAAAAACGAAATTAATATATAAACCAAAATTCCATTCTAATGAAAAATCAAGGACAAAACAAACAACTATTCCTTCAAAGCCTGATACAAATCTTTGAAACAGGTAGTGTCTTCCCACTATTTCAGTGAGCTTGGATCAAATTTATAGAAATAAATGACAGGATTACTAGCATGACTTAATGCATGAATAAACCAGTAATTCTTTGAATATGACCTCTCAAGTGCCTAATTGACATGTGGGTGCCCAACTGGATAAAGGTGTTTTAAATAATATCCAAGTTTTCTATTAAATTCTACATCAGCAGAACTTACACTGTTTTGCATATTGGAATGATAGTCATTTTCCAAACAAATGACATGACCATTTATGCTGGGGTGTTTAATTATCACCCCAGCAGACAAAGGTGTTCTCCCAGCTCAAAGGCAATCTCCCAGCTCAAAAAGCTCTCAGGTCTACACCAGGGAACAGGCCAACAGCTGAAATAAAACATATTTGCTCAGCTAACTGGACATCTACATAACCCTCACTAAAATTCTGTAGGTAGCTGGAGCTTGCTGCTGTGTAGAATGGGAAATCTCTTTGATCAATTTGGTGCCCATCTTTCACACAGGTTTAACAGAAATCAGAAACAGCCTTCTAGAACCAAACCTACTGAGGGAAGTCTACTCCTTTTTTGTAGGACTTCTTACATGGAAAAAAATGTAGAAACAGTTCTGGGTTCTCATCTAAACACCTCCTCTGATGAGTGCTCTCTCCCACCGAATGCCTTAAACACTAGACTGCACGTCTATGTCTTCATAGTAGAGGCAACCCAGTCTGCTCACTTGAGCTCTCTATATGTTAAAAAGTAAACTGTGAATGGAGAGTATTCATCTGTGGAGAGGCAAAGGAAGGTGAGATGGGAGATATGATGAACTTGGTTCAACTTAGTATCCCTCACTCAGTTCATAAACTTTCCTAACAGTGAGTCTTCTAACTCTCCTCAGGCCATGTATAGGGTCTGTAAGCATCTTGCAGAAGATCCTGAACTCCACGCTTAAGGCACTTTACTGCAGCTAATGTAAGCTGGATGGCAGCTCATCGAGTTAACTGCTGGGCTCTGCAGTAGCGCAAGGAGTCTCCTTGTGAATAAAGAGCCTGAATGTGCAGTCCAAAGGAGTTCAGATAGACAATGTTAAAAATGCGACTTTGTTATGGGAGGGAGTACCTAGTAAGATGTGTCAGGCAAAAAAATACTAGCTCTTGTTCCGCAATACCCAACATAATGCTGACTGGGATGACATCTTACTTCGTGTAGGTCGATGACACCGCCATAGCATAACATGGTGAATCTCTATTAGGAAACTAGGCTTAGTATAAAGTGTGTTTACATTAACATCCTACCTTTTCAGGATCTTGTGCCCTGGTGGGGAAGAGCTATTCAATTCCAGAGGGTTTAATTATTGTTTAGAGTTCACCACTCAGCTGTGGAAAACTTCCAGTTTCTGTGCTAATACTTTATACATGCATCTCACTGA